AGCTATAGTAATATAAATAGCGCTTATTATTAAAATTTAGTCTATATAACTTAACTTAAGTTAATTATAGTTATTTATAACTAAAGATTGCTTAAATAATAAAGGTATTACTATAGTTAAAAAAATACACTTTAAATATAAAACTATTGCCCTTTATATATTAATAGTAGTAAAGTAAAATATACTTTAATTTAGCTTTATCTTATTTTATATAAAGCTTTTATATAAGGTACTTATATTAATACCTAACCTCTTAAGAAGCGTTATATAATAAGCCTTAGGTTACGCTTTATAAACTTTAAATATTATTTTATAGTTTATAATTCTAAAACCCTAATACTAATAGGCTATTATTTTAGGCAAGGTAAATGCCTCTGTTTAGCTTAACTTTACAGTTTTCTTTTTACTATACTTCTTTTTACTATAGTTTTTAAAGCTATCTTTAGTGCTAAAAGAGGGAATTATCTTTTAATAAAGGAGGTTTTCTTTAATCTTTATAGAGGGAATTTTATAACTACTTTTTAGGGAAGCCTATAACTGGCTTTTACCTTAGGTAACTCTATAAAGGGCAACCTAATCTATTATATTATAACCTTAGCAATTATATTATATATTACCTATAAAAATTCCTTACTAATTATTAAGGACTAATAATTTATATTTCGATTTATAGTAGGAATACTAATTATATATAAACTAAGGACTTACTATTACAGTCCAGGACTAATACTTAAATATCTTAGTCTTTAAACCTTAATATATTAGTATATTACTTAACCAGTATATAAAAATATTTATTAGTACTAAATAAAACTTAGCTTAATAGCTATTAATAATACTTCTTTACCTTAATAAGCTTTATATATACTATTAACTATTAAGAAATATAACTTTAAAACTAATATACTTAGTATAATGCCTTATGTAATCTGTAAATATAAATTTAGTATAAACTAGTTTCCTTATTTAAAACCCCTAATTGTTATATATTGCTTATAGCTCTAGAAGGACCTTTTTTCTAACTATCTAATTAGCTAACTAACTAACTAACTAACTAATTAGTACTTTAACCTTTATTACTTACCTAGATTTTATAAATAGCTTTATTTTTAGGAAAGACCTTATAGGTTATTTATTAGCTAATAGCTAAACTAATTAACTTAATCTAACTAATAGTTAAAAAGCAGATTTCTTAATAAACCTTAAATACCTTTAAAGAGGTAAAGCCAGAAGGTGCCCTTTTTACTTTATTTTTAAGTTATTCTTTAGTGCAGCTTTGCCTAATAAAGGCCAGGGTTATACTATATACCCTAAGTATTAATAAAGGTTAACCTAATAACTTTAACCACTATTGCTTTTATAGGCAATATCTTATTTATAAACTAAGTTATATATATAGTTAATATTAAAAACTAAATTTACAGAAATAGCATGCCGGAATTAAACATAACGCTGGACGCTACTATAAGAAATTTAAAGTATTAAATCCTAAGAATAACCCGTCCTGATAAAGTAGCTATATACTATACTTTAGCGGGCTAAGTAGGTGCCTCTGCGGATCTAGGGAAAACAGTAACTAATATTTACATAGTAATTAACGGGCATTTCTATAAAATGCCAAAACGCGGGCAACGAACTCTTAGCGTTTATAGCAAGCTATAAGGTCAACCGAGAAGAAGTTTAGCGGAACGGAGGCGGCATTGGCTGTCGACTTTAAAGGCAAGACAACTGCAGATCTTAAATACAATGCCAGAACCTTGGGTCAAGCCGTGCGGAGAATATGGGATAAGCCGAAACTAGATGCAATTGTCAAAGAGCTGGACCATTATCGAAGGCTTTTCGATTCTGCCGTTCTCTACAATACGCAAGAATCACTAGAGTAATTGCTCCAAGAACCGATAAGACCTCAGCATGGCAGAATCAGAAATAAAGGAAAGTGAAAGGCTCACTATACAACATTAAAGGAGCAATTCATAAGGTTTCGGGCACGATAGGCGGGAAAACCTTCAATCGTACCAAAGACACGAAGAAGTGCTAGTGGCAGTCAAGTCATTTCGAGAAGCCCTTGAGAATCGCATTATCTTCTCGCCCATGCCTAAACACATCGTCAACTACAATCCCTCACTGCAGCCGGCTGCCATGCATGAATATGTTGCGATCGAGCAAGCTGTATTTCAAGAACTCCACTCTAGGAGAATGGGCACACGAGAAGCGGAAATCCCTAAAGCCTATAAGAAGACCTGTTCCTGGTTATTTAAGTACCCTAACCAACACAGCCTGCCTTGGTCAAACTTTTGATAATGGCTAGAAATTAGATCTAACTGTTATTGGCTTTAAGGAATGAATAGCGCAACGGCCAATGTTCAAATATGCATCTAATGGAATTGACAGATGTATTCTTTTCTGTAATCAGAGAGATAACAGATATAAAAGTTTACACGTTTATCGACGGGCTTGATGAGTACCACGGAAACTACTATGAGATCACTCGGTTCTTTAAACAGCTACTTGCATTATCGCCAAACTTGAAAATGGTTGTATTACCTAGACCAGAGCCTAGCTTTGTTAAAACTTTTAGAGATCGACTAAAACTTCGATTGGAGGACTTATCCGGCGGCGATATCCTCGAATACATCCAGTCCCCAGCTGTACGAAAATAGACGTATTAAACTCATATCTAAAACGGAACCTACCGGTGTCAGAAACCTTGTCAAATCAGTGGCCAAGAAAGCATCTGGGGTTTTTCTATGGGTTGTGTTTGTGGTGAGGGCCTTGCTTGAGGGTCTTGCTAATGGCAGCAATCTGGCGGAACTCCATTAGATAATAGATAAGTGCCCATAGGAGCTCCCCTTAGGGTTCCAAGCACATGGTTAATTGCATGCATGAGAGGCATTGGAGCCAGGCCTTTTGGATGTTTCTCTTTGCAGTTAAATTAAAGAGCATTAGCAGTTAGCTGCTGTCTATCTTATAACTCTCCTTTTTGGACGGGGATCCTTGGAGCGCTATATCCGCTTCTATTAAGCGCCTTTTTGCAGATAAGGTTAAGAATATAATAAAATAAACTAAAGAACGCTTATAGATTTAATACTATAGACTTCTTATAGTAGTTAATTTAAAGTAAGATTAACTAAACGTAAAAGCTAATATATACTAATTAGACTTTTTGTATTAAATAGTATTAAACTTCCTAAATATAATTAAGCCTTTACTAGTTAAGAATATATAGAATAATAACTTTAATTTAGACCTATATCTTATATTATCTATTATAAAGTTGCTTAAAGCTTATAAATTATTTACCGTTATAAATACAAAAGGGTAAAAAGGTTTAACTTAACTACTCTTTACAGTTTCTTTTAGTACTATTCTCTAGTAAAAGTAGCTATATAAGAAAAACTGTATAAGCCTGTTTAAAAGATAGGCTCTACTTTATCTTATTTATAGGAAGCCTAGTAAAGGCAGGTCTTAAATATATTCCCTAACTATAAATATTAGGTACAGTTATTAGGTCCTACTTAATATAATAAACAGTTTAATTTTAGCCAGATACTTATAGGCCTAATGAGTTAAAACGGTCTCTCTTTATAGATTTTATATCTTAAAGTAATTTAAAATTCCAAGGCTATATCACAGAACGAGAATTCCATGTTAATAGCAGCAGTAAACAACCCACTTAATAGGATTCACAGCTAAGAGCTTCTAGTAATGCCGTGTCGTTAGCTCAGGTTGGACACTGGCACGGTTAATGAGGAAACGTGATGGGCGGCATACATAAGGACAGGCCTGACTAGTAGAGGTCGGACGTCAAGGTAAAGTAACGGTCAGAAGAGAATTTCTTCCCCCATCATGGGGTCTCAATACAGTAGACATGCCTCTTAGCAAGCCCATAACCATAAAGAAATCCATGTTTACTAAGTTAAGAATAAAGGTTAGGTATAAAGAGTGTAATTATTAAGAAATCGTAATTACCTAGGCCCACCTAAACTATTATCCACAAACTCAATTAATATTTAATATATTTACTACTATTATAATAAGTAGTAATAACTAACTCAATACCCTTTAGCCCTTATATGTTATAATTGTTTCATTCTTAACTAATATCCCCCTTGGATATTCAGATCCATTAGGATAGTTATTAAGATTATTAGACCTGGCTGGAACCGTTACAGCTGTAATGTTGCCTTTATATCTGCTGCTTTGTGACTGGCTCTCAGTTTCAGATATAGAGTCACTATTATGCTCCATACGAATAGCAAGCTCAGACGTAGAACTGGTCTCATCCTTGGGCATTGCGGAGAGACGAATCGACTTGTTGGGAATTGGTCGTGAGTGACTTTGACCAAAGCTATTGGCAGTGAGGGACTGTGCCGTGTTGATGCCCAGGCGTGATCCAAAGTAGAGGCAAGCAGGTCGAATAGTTGGTAGGCATGCTGTGATTATTTAGTAGCTGCAACATGACTAGGTTTGGCACATACTAGACAGAGTGAGTAGATTAATCTCTACTGTTGCCCAGGTAATGGTATCAGCTATAGCCCATGACAGATCTTGTGACTTTGGATCTATGTGTAGACCAATAGTGCTAACGACCAATCCAATTATACACACCCTAGATGGTTTAGCAATAAAGATGGAATTATTGGCAGAAACTTACAAAGTACCAACTGCAAACATTAAAAGGATTCCAAACTTTTGCAACCAAGGTAACTGAAGCTTCTTGATTTGCAATATGGGTAGAATTATAATCAAAAGATCCAAGATGATATGAGAAAGGACGCTACCAAAGATATACTTGTTGGTTTGAACAAAACAAGTAGCATTTGGTCTCATGCTGAGCTCCCAGAAGGCTTGGGTGGGTATGCATTGGATATCGTTAAATACGAACTGTAATGGATTAGCCTGACCTCGATTTTGAAGCTTGGGATCATACTCGAGAGATGGCCCATAATGCGGTAAGAGTGAGCAAGGTGTACACGGCAATCTTGATGTTTGCAACACGAAACATGCGCCAGTAAAAGAACAACAGCGAAGCCTTGGCAAAACTGATGTTGAAAGTATACGTATGTTCAACTGCAAAGAGATAGTGTAGCATGATGGAGTTTGTTTTGACGATGTCCCTGTTAATGTCGTCGGCGTGCAAGCCAAAACCCTGACTAACCCCTAATCTTGCGGTCAGTATCCATGAGAGCTTGACAAGAGGATGCTTACAGAGCATTAATATAACAGCCCATGCGATGGCAGAGAACTGTAATTGATTAGACATGCTTCGTTCAGACAAAGGATACTCACGTAACAGCCAATAGCAAAGTAATCATCCCACCAAAGCCCCACCCTTGTAAGTCTTCTACTCACGAGTCGGAGGATAATGAAGACAGTGGCAGCTACAAATGAACTCCACTCGGCTGCCCACAAATTAGGCTGTTTGGTAGACACCATGGTGGTATACTGGGGTTTGTAGTAAACAGGTCAATTACACCTTGTAAGAAGAAGATCAAGCAATTAATATGTAGGGGAGCTGTGCAGTTATGTATTGCTTACCATCGTGTCTCAGCGGTTCTGAGGCGCCGATTTAATCCTGGCTGCAGCTTCTTTATCCCCGCAGGTGGCTTGCTAAGAAATGCTTCTCCAGATACCAGTGATAAGAGATGGTTGCAAGAGAAGTCAAAATGTGTTTCACGCCACTATCATTGTGTTGCAATGGGAACGCTACTTTTACAAAACAAGTTAAGAGTGGCGTATCCTAAAGCTGACTTGAAAAATGTAAGCAGCTAAAGGCTTTTTCTATTTGACAATGGGTACCAGATTAGCCTTGAACGCATGATTTTGAGTTTAAGTACCCCTCCAATTCAATTGTCAGCAGCCGGGAGCGGCCTAAGGAGTAATTGGCGTTGGATTCATGACTCGGACTAAGCTTTACGTGACTCCAGGGCGGGTTAGCGGAAGCCAGCCCCGTGATGCAAATCGTATCGGATCCCTGTTCCCGGTAATGGTATCCGCAGCTTTTCGGCTATTACTTGCACCAATTAGATAGGTTCTCGGACCTTCAGCTTCGTCCCGCGCATCCACAGCCCGGGCTTATAGCTCTGAGTCAGACCTTAAGCGAGATATTGATATTGTTTCCATGTACATCTCCAGCAGCCCGGTCAATAGTGCATGACACTATTGACTATCTACTCCGTAGTCTCTGCCTCTTTTCCGATAAGAGAAGTCACACTTGTTATATCCGTATTTATGTGGAATATCTAGCCCTATAAGAGGGTTCAATTACCAATAGCTTAAGCGCTAATGTAAGCCCTAACTGTCCCTGCAAAGATTACTTCTTATCTACAGACAAAAGCTTTTATTCCCACTAGACAAGGTAAGCCAACACAGACTACAATATATCTATTAAAGCGTTATTGTGTTCCCTGCCCTTAAGGGGAAAATCCAATAACTCTAGCTATACTGAAATTTACTAGTCTTTAACCTATAGAGGTATTGTTATTAAACTGGGTATAGACCGTAATAACTAAAAGGCTACTAATAAACTAAAGTAGTATATTTTGTTTTTAGCTTAATAGTTTAATAGTTATTTATTATTTCCCCTTTAGCCTACTAGACTACTAGGTATAGCCTAAGCAGTATTATATTAAACCTAAAGTATATTTTCTAACCTTATAACTAACTTATAAACTTAACTTTACTACTACTTTCTAATTGCCCTAAACCTTTTTTTAGTTTAACTTACTTCTTAGCCTTAATTATATTAATATATATATTATTATAAAACTTTCTATTAAGCTTTTCTTATATATTAGTATTTCTTAATAAATCTAATAGCTATATACTATACTTAGTTAGTATTCCTTAGGAAGTCTTTTTTAGCTAAATTACTATTTATACTTTAAATATAGATATAATTTAAGCTAGATTTTACTATAATAGCTTT